GCGTTCGTGCTTCTACAAGAAAATTAGGTACCCATGCGCACACCCATCCTCCTCAGTTTATCGGACATAACTCGGGCAGCAGTTGCAGCAGGGATGTCAGTCTCGCGGGGAAGCTCGGCAAAGGTCCAGGCTCTGTGATCAGACATTCAGCGCTTGACTTCATCCACCCGTTTTTCTTGTACAGAATGAATATTAACCAAATCTTCCACTTTGCATTTGGAGAACACCCCTGCAACTTCCGGCATGTTTGAGCAGCGCACTTTTCTCTTATAACGCCTGATTCAAAAATCCGGCGCTCGTTTTGACCACTCGAGCATTCTTTTCAATTTCTCGAGAACTTCTTCTGGGCTAGGTTTGCCAAATTTCACAGATACACAGCTAAAGGTACTAGCTTCCAAATGGTATAGTAGCCCGCTGCCCTATCCCCTTTGCTTTTCTGCCATTCCTCTATATGTCTCCACATTTGTGAATGGGATCACCTAATATTTACTGGCGTGTTTCCACCTTTGTCAAAGAAATAAATTTTATTACAGCATGTTCCTGATGTCTTCGCCGGAACTGGTATCAGTTGATCTTGATATCCTTAGACAAGTGCTTGTGAAGGACTTTGACTGCTTCACAGATCGAACTGTAAGTTGACTTGGATACTTTTTCAATTCCATAGTACAGTGGAAATTAAAAAGAACAGCGGAGGATAGTCTGAGCACGGCCTCGCCCGCAATGTTACTCCGCTTCAGAATCTTCTGAACGTCGATCCTTCTGATGAAACTTCACTATTGGCTACTTCGCTGGTCTCCCTGAAAGGACTGAATTGGTCCAGAGTTCGCAAGCAAGTGGTCCCTGCATTCTCCACAGGAAAAATAAAATCGGTACGGCTTAACATCTTTAGTAATGTATCGACCGCTGCAGAGTAGTTAGCGCGATAAGGCTCGGCCATGTGTTCCCACTTTTTTCTTCATGGTTTTGTTTTTCCCGACTGGCTATCCTAAGGCTAACGGTTGTACGATATTTTCAAGATCTTCGCAAAGTCCACAAATGATTGTTAACATTTTTCCCCGACGCTGAACTTTTTCTCGAGTTCCTTCCGAGAAAGAGGTTCAAGACATACCATTTCGGACACCGTCTGTGGAAAGGTGTTAGAGAAACTTTATTCACTTATTTATTTATTCATTTATTATATGCACTCCTAGGTGCGCTACATTCCTTGACACCATGTAAATCAGCTCGAAAAGACAGAAAATGAAAAGAAAGAGAAAAAATAAAAACACCAAACAGGAAACAAAACACAACCCAAGAAGACAACACAAAAGAATCCAAACAGCACAGAACGGACATAGAAGGCAGCAGGATAATATTAGTCGTGGCAAAAATAATGACCGTTTTCGCACCTGCTATGTTCCACTGATCATAATTCATTGAAAACTTAGGCAAATATAGTAATTTAATATATCGTTCGGAAGCACATTTTTCAAGCTATCGTACAAATTTTTTCCCGTTTCTCTGCCACCATTTCTTCTACGATTTTGGGTCACCCGCGAAGATGTTGTCAAGACGCGAAATCCGACTCATCATGCTTCACGAGTACAAACTCGGCCGTAATGCTGCGGAAGCAGCTAGGAATATCACCAACGCATGGGGCGAAGGTACTACAAATGAGCGCACCACGCGTAGGTGGTAATTCCGAAATGGAGACTTCTAGCCTGGAAGATCAGGAGGGACGCGGTCGGCCATCGGAAGTTAAAGACGACGAATTGAAGGCACAGATAGAAGCCAACCCAAGAGCATCCACAAGGGAAATTGCTGAAGAGCTGGGAGTTGACTTCGGAACTGTAGCACGTCATTTGAAGAAAATTGGGAAGGTAAAGAAACTTGGGCACTATTCAACTATTACTACCCCAGTTTTGCGAAAACAGGCCGGATCTTGATCGACTTTTTTCTACGGGGTGGATTTGGCTGAAAGTTGGGTTCTAGGGGTAATTCGACCTCCTGAACACGAATATCACATCCACTTGGCCTGAAATTGCCTGGCGCCCGCGCCATAGGCGCCAGTGATTTGGGGCATTTTGGCGCCGGCGCCCGTAGCGCGGACGCGGAGCGGTTTCAAGCCGAGGGAATGTGATATTCGTGATTAGGAGGTCAAACTACCCCTAGGTACAAGTTTTCAGCGGATTTCGTGATCTAGGGTACTTTGGCGCCGGCGCCTGTGGCGCGGGCGCCAGGCGGTTTCGAGAGGAGCGGATGTGATATTCGTTACCCCTAGAACCCAACTTTCAGCCAAATCCACCCCCGTAGAAAAAAGTCGATCAAAATCCGGCCCGTTTCCGGAAATCTGGGGTAGTAATAGTTGAATAGTGCCAAAACTTGACAAGTGGATCCCGCATGAGTTGACTGAGCACCAGCAATCTCGTCGTCTCGAAGTCTGTTCGTCTCATCTTTTGCGGAACAAAAACGATCCTTTTCTGCAACGCATTGTGACGTGTGACGAAAAATGGATTCAATACGACAATAGACGACGGTCAGGACAGTGGTTGGATCACGACGAAGCTCCTAAACATTTTCCAAAGCCGGAGTTGCACCAAAAAAAGGTCATGGTGACTGTTTGGTGGTCTACAGCCGGTTTGATCCGCCACAGCAGAAACTCTCGACCATCCTCCATACTCACCAGACCTTTCCTTCACTTTTTCAAGCATCTCGAAATTTTCTTACGCGAGAAATGCTTCCGAAACCAAGACGACGTAGAAAAGGCATTCAACGATTTCGTCGATTCCAGAACTCCAGAATTATGCTGCCGGAATATCTAAACTGCCTTCTCGTTGGCAGAAATGTGTTGATTCTTTTGGTCGTTATTTCGATTGAAAAGCAACACTTTGAAGCGAGTTATGATATTTTAAAATATTTGCTTCAAAACGGTCATTATTTTTGCCACGACCTAATAGAATGATATGGGTACTACCTATAATGCTTATAGTAGGTTGGAAATCGTGCAGTCTAGCACGTACGAGAAAAACAAGCCGCCCGTCTCATCACCTAGAGGTGTACATGAAATGATCACAGGTAACGTGAAGAAACTTGATTTCAGCAGGCGGATGCCGCTAGGGGAAATGACGCCACTCCTGGACGAACATAGGGCAGAAATATGGAATGAGAGGCTAAATTTTCGGAAGCTAGGAATTCCCTATCCCTAACAATCCAGCCTCTGACCCGCCAGTAATTTGGTCCGCTACTAAAA